TCCCCATCTAATCGACTTAGTGGCTTTCTGAGCTTAGGAGGGAGCAAACGCGGACTCTGCCTTTCACTGTTCTTCACTGTTCGCTGTCCACAGGTTTCAGGAGACCCTCGGCCCTTTATCATCAAGTAGCTCTGTGATAGCGCAGGTGTGTGGGATAACGCAGGTGTGTGGGATAACGCAGGTGTGTGGGATACCGCAGGTGTGTGGGATAGCGCAGGTGTGTGGGATAACGCAGGTGTGTGGGATAACGCAGGTGTGCGGGATAGCGCAGGTGTGTGGGATAGCGCAGGTGTGTGGGATAGCGCAGGTGTGTGGGATAACGCAGGTGTGTGGGCTGGGTTGTTGTGGTGCTTGGCTGAACAGTGCGAAGGCAGAGAGAGAGAGAGAGAGAGAGACAGAGACAGAGACAGAGAGACAGAGAGAGACAGAGACAGAGACAGAGAGACAGAGAGACAGAGAGAGAGAGACAGAGACACAGAGAGACAGAGAGACAGAGAGAGAAGAGAGAGAGACACAGAGAGAGAGACAGAGAAGGAGGGAGGGAGGGATGTGTGTGAGAGAAGGGAGAATGTACGTGGGAATGTGTGTGTGTGCATGTGTGAGGGGGGAAATGTGTGTGTGTGTGAGAGAGAGACAGAGAGAGGGTGAAGTGTGTGTGTGAATGTGTGTGAGAGAGGGAGAGTGTGTGTGTGAGTGGTGTGTGTGTGTGTTTGTGTGTGTGAGTGGTGTGGAAGCCGGAAGTTGACATTAGGTGTCTTCTATCACGCTTCACTTTATTTTATCTTTTTTTCAGCATCCAAACATCCAAAGCTTTTTTTTTAATAACATTAATTTGTAGCCAGCCCTTTGGCCTCTGGAGTTCTCAAACTTAGAGTGGACATAGGGCTTGGTGTAGCTGTGTGGGGTTCCTGGGACCTTGCCAAAATGCCATTACAACTCTCAGTCCTTCCAGGGACCAGACAGGAGCATGGTGCCATGGCCCCTGGTCGAAGGTGAGGATCTTACCTTAGTCTTGAGGATGGATGGGGCTCCAGGCCCAGCTGCTCACCCAGAGCACTTCCAGAAGCTGCATGCCATTGGTGACTGTCCCCACAACCACAGACATTTTCTTCTCTCATCCAGGACAGGGACAAAGTTAGACAACTCACTAACTGGCTGGTTAGTGCAATCATGCTTTCGGCACAACCTGATTGAAAATGAAGTTGGTTCATCTGGCCAACTTGGCCGGCAGCCTCAGGTAGACGTCCTGTGAGCTCCTGTGCCAAACCTTTCAATCCTTAATGTAGTGAATTTCAACACCCTGCTCGGCCAGGGCCAGAAAGCTTATCTCGTGTGTGTGTGTGTGTGTGTGTGTGTGTGTGCCACATGTGTGTAGTTACACCTGGAAACCAGAAGAGGGTGTTGAATCCACTGGAGCTAGAATTCTATGCAATTTTGAGCTGCCCTGACGTGGGTGCTGGGGACCGAACTCAGGTCCCTAGAGGGGCAGTGAACCCTCTCAAACTGCTGAGGCATCCCTTCAACCCCTCCACTTCTATTTTGACACTGTGGTTGTGTAGACTGGTTGGCCTCCTGCACTGTGACTACAACTACTCGCCAACACAATCCCCCTTTCACATCGGTGCCTGCGACCCAAACTCAGGTTTTCCTGCTTTCCCAGTAAGTACCCACCGGCCCTCCCCGGGCCCCTGGATGTATTCTGAACTTACAATATTTTCAACTGACCGTGTGTTTATCAAACAGCCCTCACCTCAGTGGGGGATGGTGGTAAAAGAACTATTTCTGGACTCAGATATCATGGCCTGAGAACAAATTCAGGTCACCCCAAATTCCACATCTCGGTGTGGTAACATTTCGTGGAATTTTTGTAGTGACAGCACAGAGAAAGTCACAGGTCAAGGCACTTTTCAAATATGTTGTTGGGAACATCAGGTGGGGAGGTTATAGCCCAGCAGGAACCTCAGCTACAGGCCTCAGTGCTGTGTGGCGACATTCTTCACTCTCAGGCTGGTGGAACATAGGGGCCTGTTTGTACTTTCCAAATGATTTGCCTAATAGCCACAGGACATTAGATGACAGAGAGGCAGACGGTGGCTATTCCAGGAGCCAAGATGGCTCAGATAATTTGTGACTAGGCCCCGGACTTGCAACATTCTAAACTCCCCATAATCAAGGAAGTTTTAGTCAGCCAGTCAGCTTATAAAACGCAGTTTCCTCCCGGGAACTGTTGTCCATACATCATCTTAGATTCAGCCATTGTTGTCTACACAGAGGATGCTCTCTGGCTTGCGTCAGACAGCCTTCCTCCCGGGAGAGCCTGCAAGAAGCCGTCCAGGTTGATACTGTGTGTCTATTCTATCATTCAGGTTGATACTGTGTGTCTATTCTATCAAAGATCCAGGCTGCTTCCGTCTCACCGGTCTGTACCCTCTCACAGACTCCGGGTGGCTGCCAGTTCCAACCATCAGATGCCGGCACTCAAGGGAACTCACCCAGCAGCCAGCAGGAAGTAGCAGAAGCAGAGTGACCCTCTGGCCTCGCACACCACACTAGCATCCGCTCTCCCGGCTCTCTTTTCTCGCTTCTGATCTCTGGAGCATTTGGGGGTGCTGAGAGGGAGGGGGTAAGAGGGAGTCAGGCCATGCTACGGAATGCTGTCCTCCTGCTGTGACATAGCCACTGCCATCCAGTTCCTAGCGGCTGACCCCCCTCACTCATGTGACCTTCACAGCCCTAGCCTGTTATCATGCCCTTGTAGGAGGAGCAGGGGTGGGGTGGTGGGGGTGGCGTCGCTGGACCCTAACCCTGACAACCGCTTCTACTCTCCCCCTTGTAACTCTGTTCTAGATGCACGGGTCTAGAGTGCTGAGTTGGGAAACTGGGTGGGCATGGGACCACTCCCATCTGTACAGCTTTTCAAAACAGCTGTTTCCTTTCCTCGAGGCTTCATATTAGATGACAGTCCAAGACAGTGGCCCAAGCTGGGTGGCCTGCTGCCTTCTCACTGACTCAGCCCCACACACAGAGCTCAACTCGCCACCCTGGGTCCCTGGGAAGAGGTGTCCTGCCAGCTCTGTCCCACAGATCACTATTTCCCGCTTCCCAGGGCCTCTTCCCTGTCCGACCGGCTAGCCAGCAATAGAGCTGGGGCCCACACTCGCCACCTTAGTCACTGTCCACACCCTCGGCTTTTACGGTCGCTTGGGGCCTCTCGTAAAGCTCAAAGGCTTCAAACAGTAATAAAGAGGCCCAGTTAACTTGGCTTGGGCACGCTGCAGAGGGGCGTGGACTCCGGCAGGAGAAGCTGTCTCCTTATCTCCTGGAACTGCTCATCTCAGAACGTGCAACGTGCCGTGTCGAGGTCACTGTGGGTCTCCCCTCAGGCAGGCGAAGCTTCCTGGCACCTTGCATACTCTACGGGATATGTATGTATGTATGCATGCTTGTATGTATGTATGTATGTATGTATGTATGTATGTATGTATAACACGGGCTTGGGAGTGGGAAAGTGAGTTCAGGAGGAAACTATCCATGCTCACCGTGCTCACTATCCTATGGGGTCCATTCCAGCTGTTCCCAAGCTGCACAGGATAGATAGATACAAACAGTCCCTCCAGGAGAGCGCCACTGTCCTCCATCCCCCCCCACTGCTTTTTACCTCCTAGGTTTCCTGTTGTAGCTGAGACTTTTTCGAACCCCACCCTGAGCTTGCTATAACCACCTCTTTTTTTTCCTCCTTTGGTTGATGAATGAGAAAGGACAAATCGTCAGCCCTTGTCAGTCCATGGATGGGAACCACAGCTTTATCCCTTTTGGTGCTCTGGGTATTATTCTCCAGCATGGTTAGCAGAGCTGGATTAAAAATCTCACCACTGGAGCTAGAGTTGGCTCAGCTGGCTTACCCGTGTTAGCTCTGCAAGCCCGAGGACCACAATTTGAATGGATGGCCAGGACCTGGGTTAAAAGCCGGCTTTGTGCTGGGTTAGTCAAGTGTCAACTGTCCGTTCTTCTTCATGGTCTGTGAGGCCGCCAACTCCCATGGCTGGCTAGCTTTTTCCAGTACCAGACATGATTTCCCTTTTGCTGATCAGGCCGGAAGTGTAGTTGTGTCTCCTAGAAATGGCAGAGAAGCTACATCCATGAAGTCCCAACAACACAGTTTCTTAAACAAGACCTGAACAGCGATGACTCCAATAGACTAATGTGGCCCCGATCCTAGACAAGTAACTACAGGTGACTACAGAAAGCTGGGGCAGGCAACCGAGGTGTGTGTGTGTGTGTGTGTGTGTGTGTGTGTCTTCCCCAGGAAGAGCCTCTCCCCAGTTGGTTAGTCAATACCAAATGGCCAGTCCTGAAGACACACACGCGCAAGTAACATTTACAGGGACTGAACAGGTTGTGTTTATTTATTTAGGGATATATACACGTGTATGTAGCAACAATTAAAGAAATAAAAACCGCGAATTGGAGAGAGATCAAGAGTGAGGGCGGTGCACAGGAAGGTCTGAAGGGAGGAAAGGAGGGGAAACGATGTGATTGTATTTTAACTAAAGGCTGAGTATGGTGACATATGCCCGTAACCCCAGCATTTGGAGATGGTATGTGGAGACGGCAGATCCAGGGAAGCGCCAGGGTCCGCTACGGTGGTCTGTGTGTCCAAGTTCCAGGGTTCTTAGCTATCCGCTGCCTACCGGGTACTCACTTGGTGGTCTCTGTGAGATTACTTTCACCTGTCTGGGCTGCACCTCAGTTTACTGGGAAGAGAACTTTGCTGCGAATGCTAGATCACGCAGATAGGAGCTTTTTTCTTTTAAATCTTTTTATTTTTTTCAGATAGGAGCTTTTGGGGAATCACCAAGAACCCTGGGCTCTGGATCCACGCGGCGCCCCCTCCTCCCAGACCACGCCCATTAGGGCCCGCCCCCTCGGGTTAATTTAACCCGGGCTCCACGCGCCCTGCTTGCAGAACCAGGTCAGATCCCAGGCGGAAGGAGCCAACCGCGGCGCTGCGCACTCTCCATTGGCCGAGAGCGGCGGCGGGGGCAGGCCGAGTCCTGCGATTGGCTGTTGGAGGAAGGTGTCCGGAGGCCCTAGCGGCCAGCAGGCGCTGCCGGTCATGGAGACCCCTTCCGTGCTGACCCAGGGGGCTGCGCAGCAGAGGGGCCCCATGGTCCCGGAGAAACCGGTGCAGGACCAATCGGAACGGAAGCCGGAGCGGCGGAGGCCGGGGCGGAGGCCGGGGCGGAGGTGCGCACAGCTGGGCTGAGCTCCGGGTCTGGGCCGGGGTGGCCATGCTGCCTGTTCCTGCACAGTGTGATACTGTCCACTGCTCGCGGTGGGCTCTCTCCATCCCTGCGTCCCCCTATCCTTCTATCCCCGGCCGCAAACAGGCCACCCGAGCAAGCTAGCAGTGTCCTTGTCCCTGAACCATGACAGGTCCTGTCCCAGCCCACCGGGTCCCGTCCTGGAAGGCTGGCGCCTTGGCTACCGTACCTTTCTATGACCCTAGCCATCAGGCCATCCCAGACATGGATGACTTTTTGTTAGGATGGTGTTTGAGCTGAGTCTTTAGGGATGAGGAGGAGGATCGCGGTTGGTGGCTACCCACGTGGGAGGAAGGGCAAAGGCACTGTCAGGAGTGGACAGACATGCCCCTCCGCTTCAGAGAGTTGATCCCGGGAAAGGTATCAGTGCAGGCTTGGCTTGTCCCGTTTTGTTTTTTAAACCCTCAGCAGTGAGACGGAAGGGCCATTCATGCTATAGGGTGGTTGCCGGCTGATGGCAAAGGTGTTTCTGGGTGGAAGGGTTCCCAATTATAAGGAATTATAAGGTGTCAGAGGTGAAGAGGGGCAGGCAGGATGGCTCTGAGTTTCTTTGGGTGCAGCTGAAGAATAAATCAGCCAGGAAGGACCATAAGGAAGAGAAGGGTCTGGGAATGAAATTTGAAAGGGGGTGATTTGAGTTCCAGTACCACAGGAAAAAGAAGGCATCTCCATTTTAATATGCTGCTGTCTGGCCATCCCTGTGGTTCTGAGGCCTCTCTGTTTAATTGCAGAGGGCTTGGGTCAACGATTGAGGGGTGATCCTATAGAGGGAGCTCAAGTCAACAGTTGATGGCCTTGGGGATTGCCTTGGGCCCTGGGAGGTTTAGGGTATTCCACTTGAGAGCTGCCAGCCATCCCTAAAAGGCTACTGTGGTGTCTTCTCACTACTCTTAAAGTGATACCTTAAAACAGAATACTTTAAATGATATTTTAAAACATAATAACAAATGAATGCTTCCTGATTCTGGTAAACTCAGACTTTGCAACTTCATGAATCCAAGATACGTTTCCTTGTTATTATGCCTTGGTGAACAGTTTCCTTGTTATTATGCCCTGGTGAACACCCGGGGGGGGGGGGCGGGCAGTAAGTGTTCCATGCCCCTGAGTGTGGACAGGAGACAAAGCCTGGCCCTGCCCTCTCAGGACCTTCCGTTTTGCTAGTACTTGAAGACCCTATGTATCCCTTGCTTGTCTTGGAGTTCTCAGCGTGTGATTTGCCTGTTGGGCAGGAAGGTGTGATTACTCAGGCGTGGGCTGCCGTTGGCATCAGTCCAAGCCCTGGAGGCTGCTACGCAAGGTGAACCCCAGCTCCCCGTCTCTGGTTCCGTGCACGCCTCTGGTGTGTGGTTTATTAGCCATGTCCAGAGACATTTAGCAATTTGCTTCCGTTGTTTGCCCTTTTGGGGGGGGCTGAGAATGTAGCTCAGTTGATAGCTGAAACCCCGGTTCAGTCCGCAGCATAAATGGGGCGTGGTGGAGCACCCCTGTAACCCCAACACTTGGCAGGTGGAAGGAGAAAGATTAGAACTTCCGTGTCGTCCTGACCACGTAGTCAGTTCCAGATTGGCCTAGGCTACACAAAAACAAAAACAAATTAATCTCTTAAAACCCACCCTTTGCCTAGGACCCAAGAGGACCAAGAAGAGGAAACGGTTATTAGAAGCGTGGTCAGTTTCACCCCGGACCCTTTACCAGGTGAGGTGACTGAGGGCCCCACTGATAGCCTTTCATGGTCGTTGCAGCCCCCTCCTCTCTCTGTCAGGTCAACGTGACTGCATGGATTCCCTGATTCCCATTATCCCTTACCGCTTCCCTCCATGGACCAGCTAGATATTATGACAAGGATACCACCAGACCCGTCAGCTTTTACTTATCATCCCTGGAGGAGCTCCTGGCCTGGACCCCGCTCATGGAGGATGGCTTCAATGTAGCCCTGGAGCCCCTGGAGCGCCGCCAGCCCCCACTGAGCAGTCCCAGGCCCCGGACCCTGCTGTGCCACGACATGATGGGCGGGTACCTGGAGGACAGGTGAGGTTGCTGGCCATTGCAGGATGGGAAGAGGGTGGCAGTTGGCGTTGGGAAGGCAGGCTCTAGATGGGCCTCTGACGCCTCAGGGAGAGGAACTCGGTTCTGTAGGTTAAGCTTCACGTGGCAGAAGCAAGTTGGAATCGGGTGAGCCTGTGTCTTATCGTAGTTGCATAGACGGTCAGTCCCCACAGGCTGCCCCTGCAGGGAGTGCCTCCTATGTCTCTAGATCCTCCTGGAGCAGCACCCACATTTTCTCATCTGATGGTTGCGCTTCCTGTAAGCTCTATCCTTATTCCAGTCTCTTGCCTCTGACTTCCTGTGCGCTCTCGCTCTCTCTCTCTCTCTCTCTCTCTCTCTCTCTCTCTCTCTCTCTCTCTCTCTCTCTCTCTCTCCCTCCCTTCCTCCCTCCCTTCCTCCCTCCCAGCTATCTAGCTAGCGTGACATTTTAAACTTGTATAGAACACTCTTGGTCAGGGTGATGGGAAGCTTTGTCAGAGCCAACTGCCCAGTCTGGGCCTGGCCAACCTGCAGACTCGGGGAGACGCTGGCACTGCTGACCCCTAGCCCTCCTGCTTCCTTCTCCTTCATCTGCTCACAGAAGCCGAAATGCTGACTGTGCAGATCCAGCGGCCTGAGTCAGTTCCCTGGTTGGCGGGCGAGCCCTCCCCAAACGCACAGGGAGTTTTGAGATTGGGCCTTGCTCCGTAGTTTAGTCTGGCAGAGCACCCATTACGTAGCCCAGCTGGCTTCCACCTCCAGCCCCTCTGCCCCAGGTGCCTGGCACCGTCCTCGCTGCTCTTTGTGCGTCTCTGTGCACGTGGAGGTGGGGGGGGGGACCTGGGCTGTTGTCCCTCAGATGCCGTCCCCCTTATTTTTGAGGAACGCTGCTTCGTCACTGGCCTGGGACTCACCATGTAGACAAGGCTAGCTCATCTGGGACTCTCCACCATCTCACCCCTGAGAGTACAAGCACGCTCTACCATACCTGGAGTTTTTAAAATCTTTTTTTAAACATTATTTTTCTTTGATTTTTTTTTGAGACAGGGTTTCTCTGTGTAGCTTTGGAGGCTGTCCTGGAACTCGTTCTGTAGACCAGGTTGACCTCAAACTCAAGAGATCCGCCTGCCTCTGCCTCCCGAGTGCTGGGGTTAAAGGCGTGCCTGCGCCACCACCCGGCTCATCCCTGGATTTTTTCATTTTATTTTATTTTTTATTTTTAAGTTAGCTCTGGGGGATAGAACTCATACAAGGCAAGCGCTTTGCTGACTGGCTGCCACCCCGGCTCCTGCTTCCTCTTGTTCTTGCCAGAGGGCCTCAGGTGGTCCCTGCTGTCACTCCTCCCACACAGGGTCTCACACAGACTGAAGTGAGACACCTCACCCAAGGCTGCTCTCCCCCGGCCCGCGGTCACCGTGTCCTGGTTCTGTCTCCTGGGACCTGGCTCGTCCGTGTCTTCCAGGTTCATCCAGGGTTCGGAGGTGCAGAACCCCTACTCCTTCTACCACTGGCAGTACATCGACATCTTTGTGTACTTCAGCCATCACACGGTCACCGTTCCCCCCGTGTGCTGGACCAACGCTGCGCACAGGCACGGAGTCTGCGTGCTGGGTGAGGGGTTGGCGTACCCGTTGGGTGACCCTGGGACAGCTACACCCCCACGGGTTAGGACGGGTGTCTGTACCTTTCCCAATGGCTTCATGCCTATAGCCTGTGGCCTGTCACTCACCGTGGTGGTGAGCGGCGTGAGAGCCGCCGCAGATGATAGGTAGGCGTGGCTTACACGAGTAGAGGCTGGGTCTGGCCCCAGGCCGTAGTTTGCCAACCACTGCTTCAGCACGGTGTCTTCTCCAGCTTTGTCCTGCGTCCCCCTGTGACCGCATCCCAGAGTAGCACTGATAGAATGTCTGCATTTTCCTACGGTCCCGATGCCTCAGAAGCACACTTGGCCAAGCCCTGGGCCAGGGGAGGGCCGTCCGTGCAGCTGTTCCTATCTCCCGTCTCACAGGAACCTTTATCACGGAGTGGCAGGACGGGGGCAGGCTCTGCGAGTCCTTCCTGGCTGGGGACGCGCGCTCCTATCAGGCAGTGGCTGATCGGCTGGTCCAGATGGCTCAGTTTTTTCGTTTTGATGGCTGGCTCATCAATATCGAGAACCCTCTGAGCGTAAGCACTACAGTCGTGTCCCGGGCGCCTGCCCCCTGCACTCCTTGCTCTGCAAATCAAATCCTTTTTGCTTGCTCCCACTGCCCTGACGCCTCGTGTTACCCCTCACACCTTTGCACGACCCCTCTTGTTCCAGACCCCGGCCTCAGCCCACGGCAGCAAGAAAGACCCACTTCTCGAATCCCAGCTAGGGCCACCCGTGCCGGTGGACAGGGGAGCCCAGCCGTTCCATGAGCGTCTTTGGCCGAGCTCTTCTCTCCTCTTTCCTTGGCGTGGCCGCAAGCTTTCTCCCCATCCCTGCCTATGGCTTAGGCGGCTTTACCATGGCCACAGGACCCCCTTCCTTTGTGTTTTTTCCTGAGTTCTGGGCTGTCTCCTTTTCTGTCCAGTAAGGATGGCTAGGCCCTTCTTCCCTTGAGGCCGTGGTACAAAGGGGCATTTTTTGTTGGGGGTTGTCTCTTCTACCCCCCCCTTCTCCACTATACTGGGTCATGTCTCATGACGGACGTGCCCAGCCATGCAAGGGTCTGATCGCCTCTCCCCTCTTGCAGCCGGCAGCCGTGGGGAACACGCCTTCGTTTCTCCGGTACCTGACCACGCAGCTCCATCAGCAGGTGCCTGGAGGTCTGGTGCTCTGGTATGACAGCGTGGTTCAGAGTGGCCAGCTCAAGTGGCAGGACGAACTCAACGAACAGAACAGGTGAGCGCCAGGGGTTGGTTGGCCGTGCAGGAAGAGGAGCCCGCACAGGTCACAGGACATCCTGTGCGGGCGGCTCTGGGTACGGGAGAACAGGCGTGATCAGCAACCCACCGGGCTGGGCGCTGCAAACTCCGGCCACAGGCAGCCGCAGTCCGTGGGTGACGTGTGCGTGCGTGGCCCTGAGCATCGGGGAGGCTGACAGCAGGTGGGTCGCCCCCGCCCAGCCATGCACGGCCTCAGCTGGTCCCCCACCTCCCAGGGTCTTCTTTGACTCCTGCGATGGCTTTTTCACCAACTACAACTGGCGGGAGGACCACCTGCGGAGGATGGTGGCACAGGCTGGCGAGCGCCTGGCTGACGTGTACGTGGGCGTGGACGTGTTTGCTCGGAGCAACGTGGTCGGAGGCCGTTTTGACACCGACAAGGTAGGTGGCGGCCTTTGTGCCGCGCCAGGGCCACCGGTCCGCGTGCCCTCTGTGGGCCTCATCCTCGGGGGAACCTTCCATTTCTCGTTAGCATTAAAGGAAGGAAAGGGCCCCCGAGAGGGGAAACCGAGGCACCCTGGAACTCCTGTGCTCCTTCCAGCCTCGTCTCCCGTCAGATGGGCCGGAAGCACCTGTTTCCACTTTGGAATCGCCCCGCAGACGCCCGGCTTCCCTCCCGGGCCACGTGCTCTGGAGGGCGCTGAGAGACCTTTTGTGCCGCTCAGTGGACTCAGGGAGTGTTGGGGGTGGGGCCCTAGCGGGCAGAGGTGAAGCACTTGTGTTTGGGACCAGTGAGATTTTTCTGGCCGGGTCATCTGAGCAGGGAGGAAAGGTGCGCAGCAGGCTCGGTGCCCGTCTGTCAGTCCCGAGGGAAGCTGTAGATGGACCGTTTCATCCAGGGCCCTGGTTTTCTTCTGTTGTTGTAATAAAGTCCTCTGACGAAATGCAGCAGGAGATACAGGGGTTTAATCCCAGGCTACACCTCCAGGCTGCCTGGGTTTAATCCCAGACTACACCTTCCAGGATATAGGGGTTTAATCCCAGGCTACACCTCCAGGCTGCAGGGGTTTAATCCCAGGCTACACCTCCAGGCTGCAGGGGTTTAATCCTAGGCTACACCTCCAGGCTGCAGGGGTTTTAATCCTAGCTACACCTTCCAGGATATAGGGAAGTCTAAGCAGCTGTTGCAACCCAGTCAAGGTCGGAGGGAAATGAAGTGAGCGCCTGTTTACTCTCAGCCAGCTTTCTTCTCCTCCCCCCTCCTCTCATTATGTTCTGAGACAGGCTCTTCCTGTGCGGGCTGTCCTGGAACTCGCTGTGTAGAGCAGGCTGGCCTTGATCTCCCTGTCTCTGCCCCTTGGGACTAAAGGTCACCATGTCCAGCTTCCTCCTCCTCTATACTGCTCAGGACCTCCTTGTCTAGGGAATGGCACCGCCTACAACGGGCTCGGTCTTCCCTCATCAACTGACAAGACGCTGGTGCACACAGACACACCCACAGGCTGACCCGATGTAGAGGTTCTTCCCAGGTGACTCTGGTTGTGTGAGGTGATAGTTAAAACCAAGCAGCACACACCCACACAGCCCAGTGGCTGCCGATGATTCTAGTAGGATGAGAGGTGTCTGAGAAGAGAGAGGAGGAGGTGGGGAGTCGCAGCGAGCTCGGCTGCTCTGCCCACCAAGACGGCACCTTCATGGTCGAGTCCACCATGTTTTTCAGCTGCTTCTCTGACACCCTCCTTTAGCTGGCTCGTGGGACAACAGGGGCCCTCTGCTCGGAGCTGTGAGGGACAGCTTTTTCTAGCTGGCCCACGAGATCCTTCTCTGTCTGGACTCTTCGTCCCAGTGTTCAGCGTCGCCCTGGTTTCTGTTTTCCCAGTCGCTGGAGCTGATCCGAAAGCACGGCTTCTCGGCAGCGCTGTTTGCTCCTGGCTGGGTGTACGAGTGTCTGGACAAGAGCGACTTCTTTCAGAACCAGGACAGGTGAGTCCCCCCGGGCTTTGCGCGGACTGGCAGGAGAGAGGGCATCCCCGCTGCCATGGGTACCTGGCGGTAGGTAGCTCAGGTCTGGCTGTTCCCATAATCCTCTCGATGAGGGGGATCGAATGAGAACGAAGCCGCCGCCCCAGCAGCTCCCTGGGAGATGCCAGAGACCATCTGGGCAGCAGGGAACAGAGCGAAGAGAGAACCACTCCCTGCCTGTGTCGTCTGGCCTGCCCCTAGTGGGGTGCTGTAGTCTCCCCTGGACGGCCCCTTCCAGAGATCCCCACAGCTCCCCACAGGGCTGCAGGGACGTGGAGCAGTGTCCTCGCCCCGACTCCCTCATGTCCCCCATCAGGTTCTGGAGCCTGCTGGAGCGCTTCCTGCCCACACACAGTATCTGCTCCCTGCCTTTTGTCACCTCTTTCTGCCTGGGCCTGGGGACGCGAAGAGTCTGCTATGGCAAGGTGCGTGGGTCACCCCGTGCCGAGGACAGGGTGGGGCCGTGAGCTCCTCTGTGCCCAGCCTCTGGCTGGGATGGGCAGGAGGGAGCCACAAAGGTGTGTGTGGCCTTCCTGTCCCTACCTGCCTCTGCGGAGGAGGTCCCTGCCCCCCCCCCCGTCCCATCTCTCACCTTCCCCGTCTTTCTCCAGGAGCAGGCAGTGGGGCCCTGGTACCACCCGAGTGCCCAGGAGACCCAGCCCCTGTTTGGTGAACACAAGCTGGCTGGAGACGGCGGGGGCTGGGTGAAGGCCCACTGCTGCCTGGCCGACGCCTGGCACGGGGGCGGCTCTCTGCTGCTCCGGGGCCAGATCCCACCCGAGGTTGGCAACGTAGCCGTGAGGTGGGTGAGTGATGGGTGAGGCGCGTGGGTCCCTCCCTCCGCCTCCTGTCCTCTGTGGGCAGCTATCTTAGGCAGAGTGGTCTGCGGGAGCCAAGCGGGGGACAGAGGTTTTGTGGTCAAACGCATCGCACGGCGCCCCCTGTGGCCTTCTAAGGTGTTGCGCGGCTGTGTCAGCAGGCGTCTGAAACAACCCACTGCGTGCATGGGAGGGGATTAGAACACAGAGATTTACTTCCAGTCTACAGCAGGGTGTGGCCATAGGGAAGGCCAGGCCCTCGCCACGGCAGGGTCTGGTGTCTTCCCCCACCCCTCCCCACCCCCGAGCCAGGCAGGGAGGGGCTGATGGAGGATCCGCTGTCTGTCTTCCAGCTCTCTCGGGGTTTTCCCCCCCTCCCTCCCCCCCTCCCACCCCCAGGTTGTTCTCCTTGCTGGTCCCAGCGCCACCCAAGCTTTTCCTGTCGATGGTGTACAAGTTCGAAGGCCCCACGGATGTCCAGGTGGCTTTGGAGCTCACAACAGGGGATGCCGGCAGCTGCCATGTGGGTAGCGTGTCAGTGTTGAATGGTGAGAGGATGGGTGACTTCAGGGGAAGGAGGTGGAGAAGGCCCTGGCTCTGGGCGGGGCCGTTGCGGGCGGGGCCGCTGTGGGCGGGGCATCCCCCACCTTGGGTGGAATCTGTGGCTTGTGGTCATTACCTGCACATAGAGATTTACTAAGCGCAAGCCCTCCTCTGTGGCCCTGCTAAGCAGCATGGTCTTTTGGGCAGGTTGGATACAGGTCCTCCTCTGGGCAGGACACTGAGATGGACTAATCGGTGGGCTGTGGGGATGGAAGGTGGTAGAAGCCAGGATGAGTGAGTCTGGACAGTCCCAGGCTCACCCCACTTGTCCTCTGCAACCTTTCCAAGGGTCTGCCCCGCCGGGGGCCTTTTAGATCCCTCTCCCGCCACTGCCCCACCTGGGGCCTCCTAACTCCCCCCCACCCCCGCCACCCGTCCAGGGATCTTACCTAGATCCCTTTCCCACACTGCCCTGCCAAGTAGACATCCTACCCCTCTTGGGTTCTCCTTTCTGAAGCCCATGTTTTCTAGCAGAAACTGGCTCAAGGCACAGCCCCCGACCCCTCCGGGTGCCCCCCACCAAGCTGGCCAGATGGGTTGGCCGTTGTGGCCAGCAGCTCAGTGGGGGCTGGATTCAACGGTGAGTCCCTCTCCTATCAAGTCCCCATAAGGGGATGGGCACACACATGGGGGAACTTAAGGAATGAGGGCCCCCCCCAGAGAAACCCCAGAACAAGAGGGAAAGAGAGGCCTTGGTTTGACCATGACACTTTCGGCAGCAGTAAGACAGACTGGGCCACTCCGCTCAGGGACCTGCTACAGGCCTGGGCTGCCCTGGGGATTCTTTCCCCCCTCAAGCTGTGGCCAGGGCCCTCCCCATAGCTGGCTTGCGAGCAGCCTGTGTGGTTTTCTTTGTTTTAGCTGCTATGAGGTGAGCCTGCATGGATGCCTGCTTCAGGACCTCTTGGTGAGCTTCTCACGGCCACCGGGCAGCCGTGAGGAGAAGAGCTTCGTTTGTCGTCTTGGAGAGATCCAGGTGTGTCTGTGGGAGCCGGGCCTGTGGGGAGCAGGGGTAGATAGAGGAGTGTCTGGGCTCCTGGGGAGGAGGACCTGGTGGAGGAGGGGTGGGTGGAGGCTCTGAGGAGTAGGCATACATCCTCCCTGGGCATCTAGCCAGCCAAACCTTCTCTCTCCTACCAGGTAGTTGATGCCAACAGCCTGCTGGTCCCTCTGCCTCGGGTGAAGAACGTCACCATCTCACAGCTCCGCTGGGTCCCCCTAATTTCTGGGTCCGAGGGCCTCCCTGCCCGGCTCCTTCTCAGCTGCACTCTGCACTGGTCTTTCCTCCTGCCCCAAGCCCGGTGCTTCCGGATTCACTGCTGGGCACGGACAGGCAGCAGCTCTGCAACGGAGGAGGCCCCTGGGACTGAGAAGCCGGTGTTCCTGGGCCTGGCTTTTGCCAACCAGTACCGCGTGGTGGACTTGGCTGTGGAGGCTGTTAGGTTTGGGCAGGATGGTCGTGTGGAGTTCCTGGTGGAGCCTGTCCCCAGGGAGGGCTTCCTGGTGCCTCAGGCTGAGTGGGCCAGGGCGGCCCTGGTCTACTCAGCCCCTCAGTGAACTCTCACCCCAGGGCACGCAGTACCTTCTCACCTCAAGACCCGGGATTTCTTCTTGGCCAGCCACCCAGGGCTGAGGGGACTGCTGAGCTCAGCTGGGTCCCCAGGAGGCCAGGTCTCAAGGCTCTGGCTGTGTTCTCAGGAAACTCTGCCCTGTGGGCGGGCTAGGAGAGTCACCTAGCCTCCACATCCTTCCGTGTGATGCTCTCCATGGGACGCAGGTCTCAAGGAAGAAGGAGAGCGGCTGAGGTTTCTTCCCCGAAAGTTCCATAAAGGCTGTCACTCATAGTCTGAAAAGACGCCTCTGTTGAGAATGGTGGCCGTCCATCCCTGTGGCTTTGGACAGTCAGAGACAACTTGACTGTTGGGAGTGAGGACCCTGGGGGTCCAGGATTTGTCAGGATGCTTCCTGAAGACTAAGGCAACACCTCTCAGGGTAGGGTAGGAGTCAGAGGGTAGAGTCAGGGGTGCTCACAGGGCAGCTTCATCAGGAGGGCGTTGGTACCACACCCCTACCTGTGCAAGGCAGGCCAGGAGGTAGCTTTGGCGCTGACTCCCTGCGAACCCCAACCCCCTCCCTTGCATAGGGCTGTCTGCTCATGGTGAAGGCGCAGGGCGCCACCAGACTTCTTTCCCCTGTGTCTCCCTAGAAGCAGGTGAGCCTCGCCCCCCCTCCGGGTGGGGTACATCCTTAGCCGGACAGAGCCCTGCTGACCCTGGGTATCTGGGCCTTGGGCAACACCACCAGCATCCCCCCCCCACCCCGCTTTTCCTAGTGCTTCCCGCTCAGGTCCCAGCATAGAGCTCTCTCAGCCCTTCTGCGTTCAAGAAATGTGACACAGCTCTGGGGGCTGATCTGTGGAACTCAGGCTGTAGTACGGGGGAGGCCACCAGTGCCAGGGCAGCCTGTCACCATGCCCCCCCAGAGGTGAAGGGGTCGGATGGGTGAGGCTTCCTCAGAGTCCTGAGTGCCAGGCGAGGAAGGTAAGAGTGGCTCCTGCCTGTGTGGGTTGATGCTGCCCCCACCCATTTCCCCGGATTCCCTGGGTGCTCTGTCCCTCTTGAGTGTCAGGGCGAGGACCCGGAACCTGAGATTGGGAACATTTCGCCTCGCTTCTCATGTGGTTCTGCCAGCTCTCACAGGGACAGGGGCAGGACAAGGCCTCTGGTAAAGCCCAGGCTACTTCTGTACCCTGGCATGGCTCCACCAGCCATGCAAGGTCGGAGAGGAGCACCGAGGCTGTGCTGGCCTTAACCTTCTCTGGTTCATTGCTGGAACCTGCCCCAGAGCCCTGGCTTTTCCCATTCCTAGCCAGGGTACCGTGCCTGGAGTGGAGAGGCCATAGGTGGCAGGCAGGGCAGGTGGCCGGCTTGGGGGCAGTGCGGCCTCCTGAACACCCCGCTTCCCTTGCGGTTCCGGAATACGATTTTTAAAAGTGCTGGCTCCTTCGCATATTTTATGCAGAGAAGGAGGGAAAATTTATAGTGGCTATTATTTTCTCACAGTCTGGTGAGCAAGCAATTAGAAGGAAGGGGCTTAGCAGAGCATGGCGCGAGGCAGAGCTACACAGCCCCCGCTCCCCAGGAGCGCGGTCCCCAGTCCCACTCCTGTGCAGGAGAATTAATCTGCCGGCATTTAAGCCTTGGCCCCTCTGGTGGATATAATCGCTTGGAAATAAATCATCCAGTGTGAAAAAAAACGAGAAGACTAATCTTGGTGCGATCCGACTCCTGGCCCCAGCACTGAAGCTTTGCGTTTGGATTCTGTGTCTCTTCTGGCAGGTGTCAGCTCCCCCCACCCGTGCGCTTGTAACCACCCTCCCTGCTGTTTCAGGGCTCAAGGCTGGTGCCCCACGTTCACCTTGATGGAGGGCCACGGTCCAGGGCGTCCACTCTCCCCACCCTGGGCTCTGTAACCTCCTACGTCCAGTTGAACACCAGCACGCCACTGCTTCTTTAGGCGTAACTTGTTTCAGAAGCCTTGGGGGCTGTGCTGCCCCGCTATCCTGTCTTAGAGTGGGGTGCAACAGGACATTGGGACTTCCCGGTTATTTGCCCAGAGGGTCCCCAGCTTACCCATTACCACCTGCCTCTCCCAGGACTGGGGCCCCAAACGCCCCCCACACCCACTCCCCTACCCCCTACCCCATCCATGAGTGCCACACACACACACACACACACACACACACACACACACACACACACACACACACACACACACACACACACACACAGAGCCCCCGTGCCGGGAACTGTTAAATCAGAAAAAGCCATCCTGGTGTGAAGAAAGAAATCTTTATTAATCTTAATAATAATACTGCTAATTTGAATGGTCACACCGTGGAAGCATACCGAATGGTAAGAAAGGAAGCCTGGGGCTCGGCTGCAGTCCTGGGGGAGAGGGGCCGGGAGGAGGGGTTCCGAGCTGCTGTGGGAAAAGGGTCCGAAACAGCAGAAGGCGAGGGGCCCTGTACCAAGGACAGAGCCGGAGGCAGGCGCGGGGCTATGTACAACAGGAATAGAAAAGGAGGGGCCGTTTCCATAGCTTCGGTGGCTGATGCTGGATAGAAAGTGAGGTGATGTATTTCGAGGTGCCGCGTCGGGAGCCATGGTTTCTGTTTTTTGCTGTTAACCCTACTCCACCTATCCCTGCCTTGCCAGGGGCTTCTTGCTACCTGTCTGTCCCCTGTACCATCCACTGGGCCCGCTGCGTCCCCGTGACTCCCACCACACCTGCCCAGGGAGCAAAGGGCCCCCCCTCCCGCAGCCCTGCTGGCCTTCCCCGTGGCGGGGCCAGCCCAGACCTTGCCCTTTCCTTGCCTTCCCCATGGGTCCTGCTCTGACTGTGGTCCTCCAGACCCACAGCACCTTGACTCCCAACCTCGAGGTGCAGCCCAGGGCTGGCCCATCTCTCTTCCCCTGTCCCCCAGCACATCTGAGCCTACAGAAGGGAGCGGGGAGGAGTCCTAGCAGGCAGCTGAGGCTGGCACTGGAGCCCACGGCGGCGCCTTCTTCAGGAAGGCTGCCACTTACATAGGAGTCCTGTGCTCCAGGGCCCACCTGCCGACCATCTCAGCATGAGGACTGGGTCCCCGCTGGCTGGGCGTCCTTTGTCTTCTGTAGCGGGAAGCTTTCTCACATAGGGGAGCGGAGCATGGGGCGCCCCAAGAGTTCTGGGGCCATGTCAGCCCTTTGCATCGGGAATTGGATCCCCAGGGCGGCTGGTTGGACAGCTGACGGCACTGGCAGCACATTCAATGAGGCCAGGCTGGAGACCTGGGTTAAGTGACAAGCCACTGGCCCCCAACTGCCCCCAGCCCCTCCAGGGCTCAGCAGGCGATAGCCCAAGTCATCTGGTTGCTCCTTCTCAGGGGCCTGCTCCATCCTAGGAACCCCCCTGCCTGGGGAGCAGGGTGGGAAAGGAAGACTGGAGAGATACCCGAGACCCCCTCCCCCGCCCCACACCCACGGGCCACATTTCCCCCTCCAGGTCTTCCCCAGAGCCTGGAGGCAGCATCCCTACTGCACCGCCGGCCAGGCAAGGCCACTCTCCAGCGCCCCCTGGGGGACGAGCTCCCTCGGTGCGGGCATACGCCAGACGTGGACTTGGGCTTGGTTGGATGCCTCTTGGTTTGGTTGGAACTTTTTGTTGTTGTTGTTGCTGCTTGGATCTTAACTTTTTTTTTGTTTTGTTTTTTGTTTTGTGATTTTTTTGTTTTGTTTTTTGTTTTGTTTTGTTTTTGCCCTTCATGGTCCGAGAAGGAGACGGTGGAAGGTTTCACTACAACAGAAACAGAAAGAGGTGGCTGCAGCACACGGGACCCCCGCGCCTGTGGTCGGGGTCCAACCTGAAGCCACAGTACCCCTAAAGCCGTCCCTCCTCCCCCACCACCAGCTAAAGCAGACCATCTTGTAGGAATGGGCAGGGCTGCGTGTGGAAGATAATCAGACCTGGTGGAGGGTGGTAGGGCATGGCGGAGAACAGGGCAGGGGAGGGAGCAGGGCTCTATCTGCTACGGGGCTAACAGCTTTGGTCACCTTGTGGTCCTGAACCCCCCCCCTGAGTCGAGGAGGGGCCAGCACCTGCTAGTTCTGGCCGGAGCTCTTGGCCTGACCTCAGGTACCAACTGACAATCCTTTCAGGGACCCTAGGCAGTAGAATTAGGTGGGTCCCCACAGGCCACAGAGGCACGCGTATGCTAACAGAGGCTGGAGTGGCTGGAGGAAGGCTGGAGGAAGGACGCGGGCACGTGACCCTGGCCTGACTACTGCAACCCTTCCCTCTCCTGCGATGGGCCTTGACAAAAGGTATGTCGAGTCTTGGGATGGGTGGGGGGTAGCTCTGTAGGTCAAGGACAAATACCCAGAGCCATCTATCAGCTCCAAATGCCTGAGGAGGCGGGCCAGGCTCAGGGAGGGTCTCCAGGTCCATCAATGCAGGGTGACCCAGGGTCAGGGACATTCCCAGAAGGAATTCTAGAGCTGGGGTGACCACAGCAGTATGTGCACAGAACAGCGTGCTTGTGACTACTTTAACAGGAGGGTAGTAAACTTTAATAGACACATTAGCTTCAGCTGAGCGGAAGTCCAGAGGGCCGCAGCTGCTCTAGAGGGCCGCAGCTGCTCCTGACATTCCTAGAGAAAGGTGGATGGAGGGTCCCCCCCTCCCACTTGGGAAACCCGTTGACTAGGCCTAGAGCTAGTCACCAAGCACGGGGGTGGCCAGGCCTGCAGGGGTTGGCTGAGGTGGCTCTGAGGGAGGCTTGGTGGCACTTCTGGAGCTCTGAGGGCCCGTGTTGCCCTGAGACATAGGCACGGCCCTGGCAGGACAAACTTGTCGTCCCCCCCGGCTGTATGCATACCGTACCTGAAGTGGCTTGTGTAACATCAACAACGTCAAGATAGGGAACCAAGGTTCAGACATACGGGAAAACCAGGGTCAGAGACACACACACCAGCACGGGTGGGGTGGGGAGACCAGCTGGCTGGAGGTAAAATGAAAATCTATGGACTTTAGAGTCGCAGAGGGTCAGCGGCGCTTGTCGCTGACCGGGAGGGGCGCACTGTCCTCCTGGTGGCTGTATCTGGTGTTGGGACTGAAGGGTTTGGTTTGGAATAAGCAGTGGTGTGAATGCTGTGAGGGGGTCTCTTGCTAGTAGGGGGTGAAGCGGCTGTACCCTCCTCGGCAGAGGCTAGCCTGCAACATCAAAGATGAAAAACAGCCAATCAGTACCATCTTTTGGTATTGGGAGGAAAAAAATCAAAAAGGAAAAAAAAATAAGGAAAACCAAAACAAGAAAGAAAGAAAAAGAAAAAAGAAAGAAATAGCTAATCCCACTTTCTTTCCCCCCCACAGTATTTCTTTGGGAAGAATGGGTTTCCGGTTGTCATAGCAACCGCTCCTCCATGGTGGTCTTGGGACTGGGAGGGGTGATCGTCCCTTGCAGACTTCTATACTGTCTCTGGGGTCACTTCTTGGGCCTTCAGCTGGGCCCACTGTGCCCTCTGGTGGAGCTATCCCCTCGTGCCTACGGGGCTAGTCAGCTTTCTCCGCCGACACGGCTCCTACTGGCCATCTGGGTCTACTAGGCCCTGCTAGGCTGGGCTCTGTGTCCTGCCAGAGAGGTTTCTGTGGAATCTTGTTCCCACCCCCCTCCCGGAGTTTTGCAGGAAATGGAAGGAAGTAGTCGGAGAATGCCTCCCAGGCCTCGGAAATAAGCCGTAGCCAAGAGGGGCCTGTGAGTCGATCACAGTGTTTAGCTAGCTGCCTTGAGGCTGAGCTGTGCAGGCAGCCTGGGCCTTCAGCCTGCAGTCCTGGGTCTGGGTTGCTTCCTGTGTGGCTGCGGCACCCTCTTAGCTAGAGCCCCCACAGGCCTCCTGCTCAGGATGCCTGGGGCTTGCTAAAAAAAATCAACAAAGACAAAAAAATCTCAAGGGAATAATCAAAAACCAAGGGAGGTAGAGAAGAAAAAAAACATGTTGCCCCTCAGCTTTCTTTCTCTTTACTGCCCCCCAAGTGTTTTCATCTTTGATGCTGGATGCAAGCTAGAAACATACATCAACATCCCTGGGCGGGGGGCGCTAAGGCACAGGAAGTAGGTGTGCACCGGACACAGACTGGGCTACAGAGGGTCTGGGCTACGTTGACATCTGGGCATACACGCACACACATACACACATACACACGCACACGGACACTCCAGCCCGCCCATTCTCCCACCCTGAAACCGTGGGTGAGGCCGATGGAAGCCATGCCCCTGGAGGCCTGGGTAGTCTGGGAAGAGAGTTTGATGGGAAAGGGTTGCTGTCTTTTAGTCCCTGTGCCGGGAGAGAATGGGAGAATGGGAGGGTGGGGGGCTAACCTCAGACACTTCCCAGGAAAGAATGGGCTACGTTCCCAAACTGCCAGGCCTCTGCAGCCACCGCAGGGAGGAATGGAAGGACAGAGACAGGACTGTGGTCACTGGGTTCCGGACCCTTCCCAGGGGTCCGGTCATTGTGGAGGGTTGAACCTGCCTTCCAGGCAAGCCCCTCCCTCTCAATGGATTTTTCCCAACTCTCCAGAGCTAGGCACTGGCTGGAGGCCTCAGCCTCTTCCTGTCCCACCCATCCCCCCGGCAGGACGGACCTCCTCGTGTTACTGGCAGCCGTTCTTACCATGGTTCCGATGCTGTAGGTTGCTGTGGGGCCGATGGTGTGATGGTACGGATCGGTAGCTGCATAGACTCTGCCATAACTAGGGAAGAGCAGGGAGGGAGAGGAGAGGGTACAGGAGACGGGCGGCTGAAGCAGGTGACAGCTGACCAGCCCCGACCAGCGCCCTTCCCAGGAGCCCCCCGCCCCCTGCCACTCCCCGTAAGACCCTCTCAGCTGCATGTCCTTCCTTCCTATTTGGAAAGAAGATTCTGGAACTTAGCAGTTCATCCCCTTCATTAGGTGGCCAGTGTGCCCTGCTTGGTGACCCAAGGAGGGAATAGAGTTCTTAGCAAGTTCGTTTGACTCTGCCTCCAGCAAGAACTAGGGCTGAGAGCTGGGGAAAGGGTTTGACCCAAGAGAGAGATGAGGATGGGGACCAGCAGCATTGGTCCCAGATGACCTTCCGCTCGCCTAATCTGAGGCTGTGTCACAGAAGCCTGTATGCTCGCACATAAAGGTAGGAAACAGACTCTGAGGAAGGCAAGGGTTGGAGGGACCCACCGGCTATGGGAGGGGTCATATGGACGGACATACGGACGTGAATGACGGCTTTCTGTAATCTACCATATAACCTAAACAGGAGCTCTGAAGCCACCGGGCCAAGAGTGTGAGGGAAAGAGGCCAAGGCTCGGCCTCCAGTGAGGACTTGCTGACGAACTAGCATAGCTTTCTCCACGGGGCAAGCTCACAGCTGGGCGGAGGGAGGGCTGGGTGCTCCCAGCTACACACAAGTTGTTTCCGGGGGCCACATGGAGCTCGCACGCAGTCGCCCTTACAAGGGTAAGGGGTCTTGAGAGCTGTGAGACCCCCTGGGTTGAGACTCGGGTATTCTATCTGCTCCACGAGATGTATGGAAGGAAGTAACCAGTCAGCCCCCCCCCGCTGGTTCATGGATCTCTGAGCTCAGTCTGGATCCGCTTTCCTTCCAGCCCTGCATTCACCAGACACAGGCCCCCACAGGTCCTGAGTGGTGGGTGGGGCTTCCTGTCTGTCTGAACCCACCCTCCAAAGAGCCCACCAGCACCCCTGTGCCGCCTGCCTGCTGCTCCCAGCCTCACCTGTCGCTGTAGGCTGTGGTGGCTGCGGCTGCGGGCTGAGCGTATCTGTAAGCTGCATAGCCTCCCTGCAGGGGAGGTGGGAAGGAGAGACACACATGGACTCAGTAGGGCTCACTCAGGTTGAGGCAGAGCCAGAGAAACTGAGGTGGACAGAGACCCAGCAGAGCCAGGCCCCCAGCAGGGGCTACAGACCTTCTCAGGTCTCCTGGTCCGACTTTCCACTCCCAACTTAGCCTGGTGTGGTTTAGGTGGTCCAGGACTGGGGACCTGGTCTGTGGAGGTCTGAGGGCTGTAGTGTTGAAGATGAAGCAGGGTTGCCTATTCATTTGTCCTTCCTTCCTTCCTTCCTTCCTTCCTTCCTTCCTTCCTTCCTTCCTTCCTTATCTGTCCTCACAATCATTTGTAATTTCAGTGTACACTAATGTGCACCAGTTATGTCTCTGGCTGCATGCTGGTCCCAGCACGCACCAAGTGCCCACAGACCCACCAACAGACCAGCCACTATCTGACCGTCATAGGAAGCCCACTGGTGACTCTGGACCCAGTCCTGGATACCAGGGAGGATGGAGGGGACCTTGACGGGATTGGTTCAGATATCCCTTAGACAGTGGGTAGTTAACTAGAGGCAACTAGCTGCCCGGGGCAAAGCAGAGTCAGGTTCATTGTGGGGGATGCTCACCGAGGGTTCTGAGCCACAGAACGTGACGGGCATAGTTTCAAAGGGAGAGGGAGGCACAGGACCTTGCCCAGGGATAATGAGTACCCAGGGCTTGCCTTTGGTCTCTCTCGGAACCTCCACACGGGTCAAGGGTGCTGGTTCTAGCATGGTTAGGAGCGGGAGGGGCCACTCATATAATCCCCTGCCACATGGGGCAGGGTGCCTTAGGCTTATAGGACTACTGAGATAACCACTAGCAATGGCCATGGCCTGTGCCCCCGCTGAGCCCGAGGGGCAGGAGGAGTGAGGCCGTGATGGGCTTCTCACTCACAGGCACAAACAGGATGTTGGACTTGCACCCTTCCCTCCCCAGGGCTACACTTACATAAATCTCAGCACCATAAAATCCATCCTGATACACGACCCTGGAAGCAAACGGACAAGAGAGTGGTGGGAACGCTGGAGAGGTGGGGTAGGCCGGCTCCGGTGTCTGCTGAGGAGGGAGGGGGCACGGTGCCAGCCCCGCCCACGGGACTGGCATTTTAACAAGCGTTTGCTCCAGTGCCCTGTTTGGTATAACAATAGAGTAACACCCTTGCTGGTCAGCTCTTTTCTCCCAAAACCCAGGGGCCCATCAGCCCACTCCTGCCATCCTCCCCCTCTGTCCCCCAGGCAGCTGACCCCCTTCAGCAGGGGAGGGCAGGACCCCAGGCAAGGGACCAGAGAGGGCTCCCAGAAGGCCCTTGCTGGACCCAAGGGCTAACACAGGCCCTGTTTAGCATCCGGATGACATGTGGGTGCTAAATGACCCCTTAGAGGCCAGCGAGCCCTGGAGGTGTCCCCTGGGGTGGGGGTTGATGATGCAGGCAGGCAGTTGCAGTGCTGGGTTCTGGGGTCCCTACTCTTCTGTCCCGCCCCCCCCCAGTTCTGGAAGGGCTGCTGAGCCCCCTTAACTTCTCAGGGCTGCCTCCCATGCTCCCCGGTTTTCCTTCAGCCTCCCCTTCCAAGGTACTCACGCTCCGTAAGTCGGAATGGGGGGCGGAGGAGGTGCAGCTCGGAAGGTGTTATACACAGCCCGGCCCCGGCCCCGCAGGTGTGCGCCCCGGTAGGCGACGGCGGTGCCCGTGGTGGGGTAGGGGAAACTGGTCACTGTAGGAAAAGGGCGTGGGAGAGGAGTGAAGAGAGACCAGGGCTTACAGCCCCGCTCGCCCTGCCTCAGCCCACCCGACCTGCCCCTGTCCCTCCGCTTTACCTGCATAGAACTCAGGCCCGTAGACTGCCCCTACTACAGGGTTTAGCTTCCAGCCTACAACAGAAAGAACAGAGTCACTGGCTTCCCAAGCCTAGTGCCACCTCTTCTTATTCCTGGGACCTCCAAAGGCAGTAAACAGCCCAGGCCGATGGGGCTACTTCACCACTTGGCCTCTGCAAAGGGCAGGACCCTGCCCAGGACTGGGCATCAAGCCAGGTCCGTCTCCCCACATGATAACCACCTGCTACTGGAGAGGAATGACAGGTACCCCCACTCTGGTCCATCAACTGGGTTCTTGGGTTCCCCCTGCAGTGTGCCCTCCCCCAGCTTGCTCCTGGGCACTCTTACTCTGGGGGCGTCGGAAACTTGGGGGGCACTGGAAAGGGGAGACACAGCTTGAAAACATCTGTATCCACAACTGGGACTAATGGTTCACTGTTTGGGGTCTTCATATCCTGCCTGAAAGTGTCCCTGCTGCTCTAAGGTTCCTGGGGTCCCTTCCCTGGAGAGTGAGGGGTTTCCCACCCTCCTCTTATCTCTAGTTCTTCTGTAGGGTGCTTGGAAAGGGGGGAGGAAGGAAGAGAAGAATCGTGACAGGGTCAGCAAAATGGCTCAGCGGGTAAAGGTGTTTGCCACTAAACCTGGTGACCAGAGTTCAAGTCCCTGGACCGACATGGTGCAAGGAGAGAAACCAACTCTTGCAAGTTGTTCTCTGATTTCCACACATGCTACAACATGCTTGCACACACACACACACACACACCCTAAATAAAATGTTAAAGAGATGTGATGATGGTTAATAGGTCCCGTGCGCTTGGAGTGTGCCAAAAATACTCTGTTAACTCCTGAGGTTCTCATCATACACGGGGCAGGCGTTACAGCCTCTCCATTTTACACTCACAGATTGGTAGTGTGTGTGTGTGTGTAAGAGCAGGTTGCAAACCTGCACTCTCAAGCCAGATGGGCTTCCTGACTTCTCCCTTGGACTACAGGGACCCCCCCCCACCTCTCCTTTCTTCCAGGTGGGCAGTCTTCTTCCCGCTGGGATTCAGGAGCCAACTGGACTCCAGCGTCTGCAGGTCAGACAGGTGGAGGAGGATCAGCCCACACCCTCATTTACTCAGGTCTCACCTGCACGCACTCCTTATTTGCATGCATGATGGGGAGGGGCAGGGAGGGCCTGAGCCACTGGAACTGCACGTGTAAGTTCCTAAGCCCAGCTCTAACAGCCCCACAGGAGGGCGGGTGAGCAGGCGGGAACCGTGTGGAGCATTCAGTCATCCCATCCACCTACGCTAGACTAAGCATTTTCCACCACCTTGTGTCTAAAGTGGCCAGTGTTCTGGAATCTTCCATACAGCTAAGATCAACAGGGAAGAAATCTGGGGAGATAACCCCTAAGATCTCATCTTCCAGGAGTAGAACCCTCAGGCTGGTCTGGGTCCCACCTTCCCTAGGCTTCTTTCTTGGTTCTTTTGGGTCTATCCTGGAAGAGGAGAGTCAGGGGCTACATCCTGTCCCGGGGGTCCTGGACACTTGGACCTGAGAATGTCTACTTGCCCGCTGGCTCTGCTGGAATGGAACCCCACAGGCTAACAGAGACAGCCAGAGGACACACCTGAATGACTATTTTGTCCACTGTTAAGTAGGGTACCTGGTAACACCTGGAGGGCTTGTTTCCTGCAGTGGGGACCTCAACACTCCCCATGATGAACTTGAGAGTACTGGCCGGCATTAATTAAGGCTCTCATGCTCTCATGAGCCAACGCCCTCCCCCTTGGTCATGCCACAGTGAACCCAGGGCCGTTCCTCTGAAGCCCGTGTAGCTCTCCGACAGCAGGATGAGCAGAGCTTTCTGTCTCTCTCACTCCCTGACACCAGCCAGCATCAGTACCCAGAGGAGCCAGCAAAGAACAGAGCTGGCTGGACCTGGGCTTATTCTTCGCATCAAACTCCTAGATTCTTCCCATCTACCCAGACGGTGGTGAGACTCAAGACTCTTGGGTGGAGAGCAGAAAGGGGCTCAGCTGTGTTACAGCTGCCATACTGCCCAGTCCCTGTGGATCCACAGGAGCCAACTGGTCCCTTTGCTGGCCAGAGCCAGTGTGCAGTGGCTGTAGACAGTAGCCACTCGGCGCAGGTGGCTGGCTTCGGAGACAGACTTTCTAGTGGATGTCATGACTCTGCCCCTAGGACCTAGACCAGGGTCCATGGCTCACACAGTGGCAGGTGTCCACAATGGCTAGATCATTGTGCCCACTTACCCCAGAGTGCACATCAGGAGCTTACGGCCGAGGACCAAGCTCAAGTTCTTGAGCCCATTAGAATATCCAGATATTAAAGAGGGGCTGCCGCACGGTGGCACACGCCTTGGTCCCAGCACTCGGGAGGCAGAGGCAGGCGGATCTCTGTGAGTTCAAGGCCTGGTCTACAGAGATGGTTCCAGGATAGCTAGGGATGTTACACAGAGGAACTCTGTCTCAAAACAAAACAAAACAAACAAACAAACAGAAACCCAGAAAAAGGAAACCAAGAAAGGACTTTGTCAATCTAATGGTGGTGAAAATGTGGTGGCTGACTGGGATGCTGTGGGGTCAAGTGTGTCTGAGCTGTGGATCTCAGGACAAGCTCCGTTGTCAGGAGGGCTGCCCCCATGATGGCCACTGCCAAATCACAGCACCCGCAAACCCATCTTGTCCCCCTTAAAAAGGACTACCCTTTCACCACCTGGGCTAAGTGCCAGCTAGCACAAACTGGCCGGGATTCACTAGGGACTCGGGTAAATCCAGGACACTCAGAACTTTGAGAGAACCAAACCCCTGCAAAAGCAGAGAGAATTCTTTGACACCCAGTCCTAAGCTGGAACTGGCCAGAGTCTCCATCTGTGCTGGCTGGGATTTTGTTTGTTTGTTTTTTTCCTTCCAACTTGACAGAAGCCGGAGTCACCTGGGATGAGGAAGCCTCAGTTAGAAAATGACCTGGTCATTGCATTAGCCTGTAGGCAAAGCTGGGTGGGGCATTTTCTTGATCAGTGATTGATGTGGAGGGGTCCGTGCTGCCCCACTCAGGTGGGCCCTGACGGTCTGAGAAGGCAGGCAGGGTAAGCAGGGCTAGCAAGCCAATAAGCGGCGCTACTCCATGGCCTCTGCTTTGGTTCCTGCCTCCAGGTTCTCTGCACTGGTGCAGCATCCAGCCCTGTGTATGACCCATTGCGGAAGTCAAGGGGCAGCTGAAATGTGGTCCATCTACCTCCATGCAGAGGTGGGTCACTGTGCTGTCTGCGAGTGGTACCACACCTCCATCTACAGACACTGCTCCCCAGTAGGCTAGAAGAGGCTCTGCCACACAGCCAGCTACCCTCAGGGCAGACCTCTCGCTGGCAACCTTCTAAAAAGTCTCGGTGGAGCCAGCCGCCAGCACCGGCAGACTGGAGGAAAAGGGCGCACGCGCGCGCGCACACACACACACACACACACACACACACACACACACACACACACACATACACACACACACAGCAGGTGTGCACACACAGCAGGTGTGCACACACAGGTGCAGCAGGTGTGCACGCACACGCAGCCACACAGTCCACTCACAGTGCAGGACAGCTGGGAGCTGTAGCCGACACCTCCGGAGTCCCAGGGACACACTCTTTTCCCCTGACACCTGTGTCCCCAGCCCTGGGTGGCCCTTAGAGGTCTTTCCCCAGCTCTAGGCAATGGATGAAGGGTCTCATGTGGCCCAAGCTGGTCGTGACCTTCTGATCCTTCTGCCTTTACTTCGCAAGCGCTGGGATTATAGCTGTGTACCATCACCTGGGGTTTGTGTGACGAAGAGTGAGTGGTTCAGGGCTGGCTCTGTCTGTGCATGCCAGGCAAATATCCTGCCGGCTGAGCCACAACCCCAGCCCTCAGTATTGCTGTTTTTCAGATGAAACGATTGGGGCTCAGGGATGTCTAGAAGCTTGAACGAAGTCCCTAACCCCCTCTTCCTTGTCCTGTGAGTGAGGACACTGCACTAGACCACAGGGCCCTCTAGACTCAACACTAGTCTTCCAGGGAGTCCCCACTGTTTATTTATCTGCACCCCCTGCCTTTCTATACAGCCCCTGGGAGCTGTGGATGCTTGGGACGCTTGGGAAAGCTCAGGGGCACTGACTGGAGACTCCAGCTGTGGGGGTGGGGAGGGTTGGCTCCAGCTGTCTGCCTCAGCTGACCACTCCTCTCTGACAGGACGAAAGCGGGAAGGCTCGGACACCAGATGCGGGCGATGGTTTAGAGGCAGGAAGGCTGCCTCAGTTTCCCCAGGCTTCTGCTCCAGCCCCTGAGGCATGCTGGGAGTCTTGGGTTCTCACCATTGGCATACGGGTTCCCAGGCTTCTTATTGGTCATGACCCGGGCTGTGGCATTATTAACCTGTCCAGAGACAGAGAGAGTGAGTGAGTGAGTGAGTCAGCTTCATTGGGGACCCTCAGCTGCCCTGGTTTTACCCTCGGGGTGTGGCCTCTGTGGAGGAAGGCCACTGAGGCTCCTAAGCTGATATCTAGCTGGGCCCACACTGGTGCTTACCAACACTGCTGGCAAGCAGGGGCCCTTGGAGATAGTCCCAGGCCTGTTAGCAGGCCAGGCTCCTTGCTATTCTCTTCCAGATGGTTGCCAAGACCTTCCTAGGTGTGTGTGTGTGTGTGTGTGTGTGTGTGTGCGCGCGCGTGCGCGCGCGCGCACAGGATGGCTACTCCGACCACCACGGGCAAGCAAGCTCTTCTCCTGGGTCAGGGTCTTTGACCTCTCTGCAGTATGGAACTTTCTGAGGGGGCTATTGGGGGGGCAAGGTGGGTAAGGGAAGCATTAGAAAGACAGAACCCAGGGACTAACTAGGTCCTGTTTACCAGATATGTAAGGCTTAGCCAGATTGCCTGGGGGAGGGGCAGTGATGCAGAGGACAGAGGCAGGCCCAAATGGGAGCGAGGGAGGCAGGAATGAATTAGGCAATGCCCAAGGAAGAGGTCTGGGCTGCACACAGCATCTACACTTGTACGTGTGAGCCTAGCAGCCTGGGCAGAGGTCTCAGAGTCACTGGGCACCGGACTGGGTCAGGGGTGTTGGAGTCCCTTTAACTTCTACGGTGCCAGGCCCCTCTTTTGTCATAGTCCCTGCTGCTCCAGGCCTCCCGGGGGGAGCCCGGCTCTGGACCCCGCAGCCACACCGAGGAACCTACAAGGGAGAATAGGGTGCCTGGGCAGCCCCACCTGGCTCTGCTCACTGCTAGCCTTTGGCCAGCGGCTGTCACTTCTGCTTCTACTCAACAAGGGGTGGCAGCTGAGGCTGCCTGGTGGGCGGACCCTCTTTGTCAGGGACAGGCTGCTCCGTCCACAGCTCTTGAGACCTCCTGCCTCCCCCCCCCCCCCCCCGTGTTTTTCCGGAGCCCTCCCTGTGAGTGGATGGGGACAGGCCTCTTGCAGGAGGAAAGGACAGAAGGAGGTGGGGAGGTGGGGAGCCTCAAGCCTCCGCCCGGCCAGAGTTACAGGTGCTAGGCCCAGCTGAGAAGCTGGAGGTTGGGAGGCCGGGTCAGGGCGGCTCTGCCTCCGGTTAGAGTGAGTCCCCTGTTGGGCCCTTTGTAGGATGGGCAGCCGCTGCCGGGCTGGTGGGGGGCCCAGGGGTTGGGGCACGCTGCCCAGCACCTCCCTGCCCTGCTGCGCGGCCCGCCACACACTTATCTCAGCACCTCAATTTTCCGTCCCTCTACGATCGTCCCATTCAGCTTCTCCCGGGCTCGGTCAGCATCTGAGCTAGTTTCAAAAGTTACAAACCCAAAACCCTGTGAGCAGAGGAGGACAGACAGGAGAAGACAGGATGAGAAAAGGGAAGTAGAGGAGAGGGGGAGGGGGAGGGAGAGAGAGGGGGGCGAGTCAGGTGGAGAGGTGTCAGAAGTCTGTCTTGGTGCCAGCACTAGGAGACAGCCTCAGGCAAGGGCAGGGCCTGAGGCCACCATGTCTGACACCTCCCAGGAGGACAGGCCAAAGAGATGCTAACCCAGCCAGGGGCCATGACTGCCACTATAACCCCTCGGGGTGCGGGGCTGAGACTGGGCTCCATGGGGAACAGCATCCCCACCTTTGCTCTGGGAGCCCCAGGGTGTGTGTATGTGTGGAGGGGGAGGGTCTTTCTGGAGAGGGGAGCAGAGCTCTTCTTTGCCGGGTGCCCTCCCGATCTACAGACTCTGCAGCCCCTCCCACAAGCCTCCAGGGTTGTGAGTGGTTGGATGGGCTTAGGGACCCAGGCCCGGGGCTGGGGGCAGTGGGGCTCTGGGGTGCGAGCAGGAGGCCCTGGCAGCCCGAAAGAGGAGACGCAGCCTGGCAGCAACAACAGACAGCTGGGGCGGAGGGGGGCAGAAGAGCAGGGAGTGCAAGCACCCGTGTGGCTCAGGGGTCCTCGGGCGGGCGGGCGGGCGAGCGAGCGAGCGGGCGAGCGGGCGCGAAGCTCTCCAGGAACGAAACGCACATTTCACACGTTAGCCTGGCGGGACCTACAGCCGGCGCGCTGTAATGGTGGCGGCCTCTGTGCGGCACCCACCTTGGAGCCCCGTTCGTTAAAAATGATCTCCACGTCTAAAATTTTCCCGAATTGCTGCAGAGACAGGGGGGGGGGCGAGAGGTGGAAGATGGGAGAAAGGGGTTAGGATACCAGCAGCCTTATCCCTTCCCCTCCCAAGATGCCAGCCACCAGGCTCAGGGCAAGAGGACCCCAGGGACGCCCTCCCTTCTGCCTGTGGAGGTCTTTGTCTTCCTTAGGGAGTATGCGTCATAGCACCAGGGGTGGAATGCCCAAGGTATTAATTAGTGCCGTCCTTAATCCGCTGAGAGGCCTTTGCTTGAATGGGCTTGTGGAGAAGGGGAGGGTCCTATGCTGGCCAGGAAATGGCAGTTGAGATGACCAATCAGAATCCTTGATTGGGACAAGGGACAGGCCCCTCGGAGGTGGGAGTTGGCAAGTAGAAGATGTTAAGAGTGAAGGACCGGTTTGGAGAGAGCACTGACTGCTCATCCAGAGGTCCTGAGTTAAATTCCCAGCAACTACATGGTGGCTTACAACCATCTGTAATGAGATCTGTTGCCCTCTCCTGGCTTGCAGACATTCATGGAGGCAGGATGTTGTAGTCATAATAAATAAATAAAATCTTAAAAAAAAAAAAGAGTGAAGGACCAGGGACCAGGGGACCAGGGATAGGACTGGGTGTGGGGGCACAAATCCTTATACTGGTGACTCCTGGGACCCAGTACTGTTTGCCCCTGTGCTGTGTGTTGGAACCCAGGCCTCCTGCTGGTACAGGATGCCCCGCCAGCTAGGATACATTGCTTTGGCTCTGGATGATCCCTTCCTGTCTCATAGCTAGCCTGGAGTCTCCGTGGTCAGCCTTGTCTCCCTCGGTGGTATGGGAGACCATGAACACGTGACCCACAGCTCCACACAACACCCGTGAGACCCTTAGCCTCCTGGGCCAGCAACTGATGGGCCTCTCCTCACCTTGCACATTCCTGACACAGGGTAAGAGGGCCTGGAGGGCGGGGGGGGGGGGGGCAGGTAGCTATAGGGCCCTGTCTGCAGGTTCTGAGGAGAGGGGAACCCTTTACCTCATTCTGTACAAAAATGTGACACTTAGTTTCTACTTGTCTGTCAGGACCCTGTGACTAGGTTGCAGGCTGAGGGCCCCAGTCCGTGGTTGTCTATAGTGGCAGCTGTTTAATGCAAGGGGCCCAGGCTCAGAGAATTTCAGAGTCCCCCCAAAACCCCAGATTAGGAGGGCTGGGCAACCTCATCATCTGACGGTTCCCACTGATCCAGCGAGACCCACCCCGAGGTCAGGAGTGCAATTCTAGGGTCACCCGAGGGCTGCTCAGAGGCACTCTGCTCTCTCCTGCTGTGTGAGACAGGCTGAGCAGGGGTTGTGCGGTAAAAAAGGGAACAGGTGCTGGCCAGAGAGAGAGGGGACTTGAGGCCAGGGCGGAGACAGAGAGAAGGGACACAGGCAAGTCATACGGTCCTTTGCAGCCAAGGTTGGCCGAGGAGCTCAAGAAGCTGTCCCGTAGTCCCCAGGCGCCTCCTCCACGGCAGCCCCAGCCCCCACAGGCTCCAGCCCAGATTTGAGGGGCTGTAATAGTGCTACCCTCTCTGGAGCCCAGGGATGCAAAATCTAGGGCCACACTCAGAGGACCACGGAAGGGCACTGTTGCCTGCTTGGTTCCAATCAATTGTATTTGCAAGTTGCTCCTCCCCTGGGAAGCCAGGACCCAGCCTGGAAGAGGGGAGCCTAGCTGCACAGGAGAGGCTGAAACTGTGTAAGGCCAGGAGATCAGGCTGCCGCCCCTCCAGGCATCTTCCTCTCTGGAGCAGAAATCTGCCTCTAGGCAGGCTGTTGGGGCCCAGAGGACTCTATGGCCCTTGGAGACTGGTGGCATGCGAGTGAAGAGGCAGCCCTCACCAAACCCCTACTGTAAATTTGGCTACCTGCCTCTTGTACTCTGCCAGGGGAGGGCTGACTCAAATGAGAAGAACCGGGGACCCTGCCTCCTCCTGGCACAGACTCCCTGCAATGGGGTGGGGGACAGAGGAGCAGGCGGGTGCACACTCACCCCGAACATTTGCCGCAGGTCGGGGTCCCTGAACCGGAAGGGGATGTTGGAGACATGTAGTCGTTTGGGCTGCTGCTTCTCCGTGGGGTCTGAAGAGTGGAGCTGCTGCTGGCTGTCTGTCTGCGCTGCCTCATCCGCCTGCTGCCGAGAGAAGACTCGTAAGGCGGGCCTGCAGACTGTGTGGGCCCACCCCCTCTCTCTGTCCCAACCCTTTCCACCCCTGGGTCAGCGATCCCCAAGAGAACTCCGGCAGGACAAATCCTCAAGGTTCAAATGGCAACCAGACTGAGGCCCCACCTTTTCTGTCCCGGTGAGCCCATGAGAGCACCTCTCTCCTGTCAGGACAGGCTCAGGCCTCCTTGGCAGGGTCTGCTGCGGGGCTGCCTAGGCACGACCCTTTCTACTGAGTGCCACCCTCAGTGGCCTTTTAACCCAGTACTACTGGGAGAGCGGAGGCCCCTTCTGGCGTCAGAATCGGATTGGTTTTATGACGGGCTTCCTGGGTAGTTATCGGCAGGGTGCTGCCGTGTTGGGCCGCGTACTCCCAAGGCTCCTCCTGACCCCACGAGGTCATTGCTGCTTCACTCAAGGCACAGGGGCTGCTCTAGTTGTCAGGACCAGTCTGTCCTCATTTAGGCTAAACACCGGCTGGGGGGAAGCCTGAAAGGACTCGGGTTTCAAGCCCACCATCCTTGAGTTCACGCAGGAGGACTGGGGATGCGCCTGAGGTTCAGGCTTCCTAGACATCTTCAGCGAGGCTGGATCTCAGCCCTACTCACTCTCAGATTCATCGGCGGCGGTGGCAGCAAAGACAGACTGACCAGCACTTCCTCAGCGCCAGCTGGTGAGTGGGTATGTGAACCAAGGTGGCGGAGTTCATCTCCAGGATGCCCAGGCCTGAGGTCTTCATGTTCACGGCCAGGCTCGTAGGTGACACACTTGTCAGCCTACCTAGTTTTCCACTCATCCCCAAAACCTTAGTGTCCAGGACAGGCGCTCTGGGGTGGCACACACAGGGGGTGGGTGCCCCAGCTCCCATCCCGGGGTTCCTTTATGCTATTGTCCCTGTTCTCCAAGTGGGGCTGAGATCAGCTACGTGGCAACACCCGGCTAAGAATACACCTTCTGATGGCTTTCTCCCAGTGCCAATGCCCTCTGGCCCCTGTGGTTTTGAGGGATCACCTCCAAAATACATCCAGTGAGCTCTGCGTCTCTCGGGGGCAGAGGTGGAGGTGCTGGACAGTACAGGGGTTAGGGTTAGTCACCATCGTTCCCACTGCGGCCCAAGGAGCAGAGGCAGCTGGGGGGGGGCGGTTTGAGGCTCGGCCTTCCTTTCCCACAGGCTTCCAGGAAGTGCCGGTGTTCTCGGGCTATTTCAGGATAGACTGTATCCCAGGAATGCTGAAGGCATGGGTCCCATGGAGGCGGGATGGTCAGAAAAGCCATGCCCAAGGTTACACTGCTTGGGTCTGTGCTGTAGCTGAAGAAGATGGAGCCCAAATGGACAGTCTCCCCAAGGCCTTGCCATGTCTAAGTGGCAAGGGGTGGGCCTCCAGGCTCCAGCTTGAGTGGCTCTTTCTTTGGTCTTCCTGTCTCCTTTGGAGAGGCAGACTATTCCCTTACACTCCCGCGTTCAACCAAGAGGCTCCGACTAGGCTTCAGGCAGCAAGCGCCCTAGACAGCCAGAGCAAGAAGACCCAGGTGACAGCTCCCAGAGGCCAGATACCAGCTGGGGTGGCTTGGGAGGCCCGCGGTTGCAGCGGAGTTTATTTGCAAATGTCCTGCAGATGCAACTCAGCCTTGCGGCACTGGGAAGTTAAATACACGGCACAGATACGGGCAGGGGAACCCCCCCTTTCCCCCCTGCCCATGTGGACAGCCCCACGTCTATCTCAGCAAACCAGCCACCTGTGTTTGAGCAATCTTGGTCAATGCAGGCCTTCTCAGCCCCATGCTGGAACTGTAGGTATGGCAGCCTGACCCCCGCGCCTCTGAGAGGCAGTGGGTAGTCAGATGTCTCAGGCTTGGCAAGCTGGGGAGTTACTGCTTGGGGCTTGCTAACACTGCCCGGAAGCCCAGTGAAGGGAACTGGGCTTGGGCAGGAAGACACAGGCAGCAGGAACAGCCTCAGCGGGCAGGAGGGTGTGTGTTTGGTCTGTTAGGCACCAGGTCCACGTCTGTGGGGCAACACAGGGCAGCAGGCTGTCTCTGCAGGAGCTGACTGACTCTCCAGGGCTGTTCTGGGGCTTCTGGAGGAAGCCACTCTCCAGTTCCAATGCTGTCCTCCTTACTCTCCGTGTTGTAGAAAGCGAATATTGGATAGACTCCGAAGGGACAACTGTCCCCCCGGACAAAGGCAAACCTGCCCAAGCAGCCTGCGATTTTTTTGGTAATATGAGATCCATACTCTGTTCGTAGCAGGTGCGGTTCCGCGGTTCCCCCTTTCCCCGTGGAAGCCACACAGCATGCAGATGCAGGTGTCCCTACTAATTAAGTCATCTTCATTTTGGGTTGGAGAAATCCAGCCTTGTTAGCGGCCTGAGGTGCTGGCTTCTGACCAGCAGAGGGCAGCAACGAGCACTACCAGGTGGCCACTATAGCTCAGGAATCCGTGTCAAAGTAAGAGCTGGCCAGAGTGTGTGTGTGTGTGTGTGGGGGGGGACCACAACACTGCACTACTGAAGTTGGGGTGTCGGGGTTTCTTTGCTTCCCCCATCCTACTCAGCAGTGTACAAAGGCAAGCAAACGAGCTCAGCGCCTGTAAAACTGTAAGGTGCATTGAGAAACCCCTTAGTGTGAGTGCGTACCGCTGGTCCTGAGCAGGGACAAGGCCTGCCTCCCGTTCATCACAGTGGTGTAGGTGGCCTGGCTGACCCTTCCTTCTGAGAAGTGGGTCTGCCTGCCCTCCCCCTTCCCCCTCCCCTCCCCTCCCAGTCTTTGCTCGCAGAGAAGAATCAGCCACCCCAGTGCCCCGACCTCTCCCAGGGTACACTGGTTGCTTTGCCTCAGTGGCTTTCCGTGCTGTGTCATGGTCACAGACCCTTCTGCTGTCCCACCTCTGCCCATTCAAGGCTGGTGCCAGCCCCTGGGGCTAAGGCAAGGCCGAGAAGGCCGACTCCCCTGGGTTGGATCTGCCTGTCAAGCTCTACATGGGGGACTGAGAGGTCACCTGGGAAGGGTGAGCGGAGGGGTCCCGGGAGGGCTTAGCCGAAGGGCCCGGCGACCCCATTGGTGGTCCGGAGCCAAGCTTGGCTGGTGTGGCATAAACCAAGCTGGGATTTCCACTCCGCAGCCTCGCTCTATTTCTCCCGCCCCCTGGGGTATCCGAGGGACGATCCAGCCACCGGGGGAGGGGGGAGAGGATGGCCAGTGGGCTTGGGAGGAGGGGCTGCCTGCATGTGGCCCTGAGGTGTCTTCCTTCTTTGAGTGTCTCTCTTCAGAACCCCAGAGTCTGTGCTGCGGCTTGGATGCTGAATGCCACATCACGCCTCTGCTGGCTGGCCAAGCCTCCGCAGCCTCCGCAGCTGCAGACCAGCCACATTGACTTGTCCCTCACTAGGCTAGGGAGCCGTCCCGCCGGCGGCCTGGTTCTCTTTCTCTCCTTCTCATCCCGTTTGCCCACTTTGCTCTGTCGCTGGGCAGGCGAGGAGCCAGGGACCCAAGGCTTCACCTCCCGGCGGAGGGAGCCCCATCATGGCCCCCGTACCCAGCAACACCTTCTGCCCGCCCCGCCCTGGCATTTCCCAGGTGTACACCAGTCTTCCCAAGAGCGTCTGTGGAGCATAAGGACCGGGCGTGAGCCCTCTGGGCTTCCATTCCTGGCACTCACGTGAACCCCCCGAGTGAATAAATAAATGAGTGTGTGAGTTGGGGTTTCCTCTATGCGTGAGCTGGACCCTGTGCGTGCCGCAGAGCTCACTGTAGCCCCACTGATGATGACACGCACGCAACACTTTGTGCTGCCTTTGGCAGGTGGCCCTGGATGGTAGGAGACGTGGGACTCTGAATCCAGGCACGGGGCTCTGTAGCCTTCCTGCTGGGATCACAGGTGGGGACGGCCCTTTCACAAGGGACTTCCAGATGATGGGACCCAGAGTAAAGGTCTCCTGTGTGTCAGTGAGCAGCTGTCTCAGGAATGAACAGGGGTGAAAGTCACTGGGGTTAAGGACAAAACTGTTGAAATGGGCCTAAGGATTTCTGAGGTCCCTGGTGGCCAAGGCTGTTGAGAGGAACAGATGATTGATGGGCTGGGATCCCTCGGGGTCCACCATCCCTCTGTTACTCAGGGTCTTTGGGCATCTTGTCTGGGCAGTGGGTTGTCAGGGAGAGTCCTGAGCCGGTAGGGACAGGGGTCCCCGATTCTGAGCTGGGAATGCTCCAAAGTGGGGAAGCCTGCTGGAAACGGTAGGTTCAGGCCACATAGAGGCCCCTGTCCCAAGACAAAGACAGCTTTTCTGAGCCCAGGCCTGGGATATATGTCTCTGAGGGACCAGGGTACGAAAGGAAGCAAGGCAGGTATACCAGCTGCTGGGCACCTGCTCCCTCCTGTGCCACCCTTGGCTTGGAGGCAGGGTGGGCCTTTTAGAGCTGACTTGGTGAGCTGTGAATGTGGGCCAGGCTGCTCACAGCTGAAGGGAATCTCTCTGGGGAGAGGGCCCCATGGTGTGCGTGTCCATGAGGTAAGCAGGGCGATGGTGCATACACATCCTGGGAATGGGGCGGGGTGCAGGGGGGGGAGGTACCAGGGCACTCGGTGCCTTGGTGGCCACATCCTGGAAGCTAAGGGAGGTCCTGGGCCAGGTGGGAGAAGCTAGGTCTAGGCTGGATCTCTGAATGCAACTTATCTGCCGTCCCGGTAGCCCTGGATACCAGTCTCAGGCGGCTCAGGGAAAGACCTGGAGAAGGCCAGGGTGAGTGGATAGAGTCCTCTGAATGTCCACGTGATGGACTGGTGACATCGGACCTGGCCAGCACATGCTGGCTTTGCCTCTCTGGATAGGCAGCTCCTCTGAGGGAGGGGCCGACAGCTCCTGGATTCTCAGAACAGAGCTGGCCCGTCCTCCACTGAGCTCCCCCAATGTGGGTATCTCTGCTTGCATAAGTGCCCCAGGGTCAGAGATCAAGGCCCCCAGGTACCTGCAGCTTTTTTGGAGAGGGGTGTCCCTAAGTGTCCTCAACATCCTCTTGCTAGTCCAATAGCTTCTAGCTTCCCAGGTCAGAGTAGTGGCAGATTCACCCTCATGGTGAAATAGACATATTAGATCTGATACTGTGACCCTGACAACCCTTATAGAACATGAACACTCTAGCCAGAGAGCAGGATGGCTCAGGGCGACTGTTCCTCAGGGTTCTGACATTCTCTGGTACAGGCATCTCCCACGGGAAGCATTGGGGTACCAAACCTCGAAACTCAGCTTGCTCCAGGTGCTCCAAGGCAGCCAACCCTTGCCCCAGCCCTCAGCTCCCTGACATCTCTGCCTTTGACTAGTGGGAGCCCGAAGGACAGGGCTGGTCACACCCTCTCTGCACCGCAGAACTGCCTCGGAGCCTGGCACTCAGCCTGTGTTGTGCAGGGCAGAGAGGTTGACTCAGATCCCGGTAGCTGTATCTGTCTGGTAGCCGCAAGGTGTCCAGAGGCCTCAGTGCTGGTTTCTGCTGTTGAATTACAAGGCTATCTGTCCCCTACTTATGCCATCTATGACCCTGACCTGCTTACGGCCAGGTGAGGCCCCATGTCTTACGAGAGACTCTCCTGCCGCCACTCACTGACATTTGTTCATAAGCAGAGGGGGGCTGTCTGCTAAAGTCTATTGGACCGCGTGGCTGTGACTTATCTATGGCGAACCTCTTTAACTCTGGGGTCACCTGTCTACTCTGAGCATGCAGAGGCTATGTGTGGACTTGATGACTTGGAGCCAGACAGACCTCCAAACCTCCGAGGGTTTGGCTTTTCCAGTCTGTGTCTCACAGCTGGAAGAATCCTGGTGGCTGGGGGGGTGGGGGTGGGTGGGGGTGGGTCAGATGCCCTGCTCTGGAGTGGGGTCTTCTGCTGGCTGCAGAGCAGACTCGGGCAGGTCGTGCTGGCGCAGGAAGGAAGAGCATTGGCTGGGCATGGAGTAAGGGCAGGTGCAGCCCAGGTACAGTGGGCAGACTCTCTCCCTAGGAGTCAGGGAGGGGGATGGTGGAGGAGGCCCCTGCCCATGCACAGAGGGCAGTATTTGGGCCCGTAACATTGTCTGTGGAGCCGGCTGGATGTGGGGCTAAGACTAACGGAACACAGCTGGAGGCCCCCTGGGGAGACGCCAGGGTGGTGCCATTCTGCCTGGGGAGAGCAGAGCGAGCTGGCCTCCTGCCTGGGCCCTGCCAGCCGGCAGCCGGCTGCTGGGATGGAGCCAGCAGGGATGGGTGGATGAGCCCAAAGCCCCTGAGCAAGGAGGGGAAGGCCCTCAGGGAACATGGCGGGAAGAGCCAGAGAGGCCTGAGCAGCGGTAGCAGCAGCCAGGGCCTGGGAAGGGGGCTTCAGGACAGAGCCTGGGAGAGGGCTGTGGGTCACAGCCCACCCAGGCGGCTCTGTTTTCCCACTCCTTTCTCCATGAGGAAATTTGAGAAGTGCAGTGCTCAGCACTTTCGCCTCCGAGCTGCATTACAACCGCGTAATTGAAGCTATCTGATTGGAGGGCAGCCAAGCAGGTAGATTACAAGTGATTAGAAATGATAGGGGGGCCTGCAACCCGAGACAGCTCCACAACCGCCCACCGTTCACCGCCCACCCTGGCTTTCTTCTGAGACCCTGGGCAGCCGGAGCCTCTGTCCCTTCCCCTTAACAGGACATCGCAGCCACCACCACCACCACACTTCCCGCCTCCCAGAGGAGGTGAGGGTCGGCCTGTAGCCTGAGACAGCTTGGGGTGAGTGAGGTCTCACCCCACCCACTCTGTGGTCCCTTGGTGTCAGATCTGGAGTACCTGAAGTCTGGGGCTGGAAGCAGGGTCACTGGGGTGAGGATCTCTGGGGAAGATGCCCAGTGACGAAGTCTGGCCTTCCTGACGTTTCTAGAGGCCCTTTCTAGAAAGTTCTACCCAACCAGCATGTACCGGGGACACTCTGTGCCAACGGTCCTTGGCTGGCCCGTGTAGGAAGTAGGAAGGGGTCTCTTACCGGCACTGTCTGGGTCCCGGCGATGGGCTGCGTGCTGGCCTCGGTGGCTGGCTGCTCAGGGTGCGTCTGTGCTGGTGTGTAGAGGGTCATGCCGTGCTCTGGGGGGACTGGGGTCTGGCCGGAGTAGTCCTGTGTAGGGTGTGGCGGAGGCTGGGCATACTCGGCTGGGATTCCATTCTGAGGTGGAGGGGGGTACTGGGCAGGGGGGTAGGGCTGGGCCATTGCTTCAGGTGGAGCCGTGGCGTCCTGGTTGCCCTGTTAGTGGAGGAGAGCAAAGCCCTGGTTAGAGCCTTTTGAGTCCTGCTAGGGATGCTGCCTTTCTGTCAGGCTCTGTGGTTTCCATACACTACTTCCATAGCATCCCCTGGGTCCTTGGGATGGGGCTTCCCTAGCAGAGCCGCAGGAGGCGCCAGGCTAGAGGTACCGGCACGAGGCACTCCTGGCCGTGACCACTTTACCCTCGCCAGACACGACCACGCAACTTCAGAGTTCTGTCTTCCCACCTAGATTTTAAAAACCAATCAGCTATCACGACCATTTGCAGACTCGCGTGTCGCTGCAGGAATCGACATGGATTTAATTTCACTCCCTCCACCCTGATAATAGTGACCACTGGAAACGCGCATTCCCTGGTTACAGGCATCCATGTATTCAAGGAGCACCCTGTTCCCTTGCCGCCAAGCCCCCCCCCCCGTGTGGGGCTCCAAGCCTTGGTTTCCTATAAAAGGGGCGGGTGGTTTCATGGTTCACCTTGACTGAACAGGAGCAGAATGCATCATGACAAGATGATCGCTATGGTCAGGTCTCTGAGATCTCACTAAGATCCTTTCCTGCCCACTTGACAGCCTGCAGCCCAGAGAAGCGATGAGCACCCCTTGATGCTGGCCCCCAACCCCCACCAGAGCCTCGGCAGCGACTGTCAAAACTGGTGGCTGGGCCCTCAGTGCCAGCATCACCAGGGAGCCTGGTAGCTGAGGATGCGGGTCTGGGCCCCACCCCACGCCTCTTGGGCACTTGTGAGGAAAACTCATCACGGGCAGACAAGCAGCTCAGAGAGGAACCCTTCCTCCAAGCCGAGGCTTCTGTCCTGCAGAGCCAGGTGCAGGCGAGGCTGAAGAGGGAGGAGACTGGATTATTCTCTGCTGCGGGACATAGTCCCTGCATCGTCCCGTCTGGGCAGGTAATGCCTTCGCTCTTTGGTTTGTGTGGCCAGAGAGGCCCATCACCCGAGAGGACAGGTAGTGTCTCCCACTGGAGCAGACCCCACCCCACCCCCCGCCCAGGGGGACATCAGCGAGAATTCATGTCCTTGCTGAGTGGCTCTCTTAAGATGAGGAAGTGGGACGGACAGGGGCAGCCTCCTCCCACCCATGCCCATCCAACATGGACTCCCCTGTGGCCCACAGTACGAGACGCTTCGTTTGGTGAGAACCTACTAAGCGCGGGTACGGGGTGGCAGGGAGGTGGGGGTGGGCTCGCATAACCCCCTTTGCACGTTTCACCGCTCAGCCTGGCTGTGTCCACCTCAGCCTTGGGGTGTCAGCCAGCAAAGTGTCAGCCTGTAGGTCCCTCTCCAGTACCCGCCTCTGTCCCCCATGCTCGCCTTAATGTCCCATTCTCATTGACGAGGGAGCCCCTCCCACCAGAGCACACAGTCTGCTACCTCCTTCTTGTCCACATACAGCGCTAGGTTCCAGTTTGCTCTCCCAGGCCTGCTTCACCAGGCTTGGCGAAGGCCACAGCTGTCCAGATGCTGGGATGGACCCACTGTCATGATGTTCAAGGGGCCTGGCCACCACGTGGACACAGCAAAGGACAAGAGTGGACCGGCTGGCCTGGCACCAACCTGGTCTGTCTGATCACCAGCCATGAGTGTTAGCCTTGTCCTGCTCTCTTCCAGCCCCGCTGGAACAGATTCACCAAGCGGACAGTCTCCGGCACCCAAGTCCTCTGTCTTCCCCCCTTTCCTTCTCTGTCCTTTCCCCCTACCCTGTCTCCACCTCACAAAAGCTGCTTGGTCCCTTTCCCTGTCTATGCAAAAGCTCAAAACTGGGACACCTGTGTAAGCTCTGATGAAAGGGTTACGCCTCGAATCACCCCCTCTCCTCTTCTCCCCACCCCCTCTGGTTCTCACACCTGGACACAGCAAATCCCCTAGCTGGAGATTCCCAACCCATTGCTACATGGTATCTAGGTCTGGAAGTGACGTTACATTGTTACCAGACACGCTGGCATTCAAAATGGGCAAGCGGCTCGTGGATGGGGGTGTCGGAGGGCTCAGGAGAGATGGGAACTCCACGCAGGGGTGGAGAGCATCTAGCAACTGGGATGACCAAGGGTGAATGGCAGGATAGAACAGGAGGCCTAAGGGTGTAGAAGGTGATGGGGGAGGAAGGGAGGAGCCCGTCAGCGGCCTGGCAGACGCCAGGGAGATCAATTCCCCCGTAAATATTTGATGAGAACCTTCACTAACTGATACGGCTTCACAGCTCCTCTCCCCACTCCTCCTGGGTGGCTTTGGCTGTCACTTCAGCTGCCTGGGGTGGGGCACTGACTTGGACATCTTTCTTTTTTTTTGTTTTGTTTTGTTTTTTTGAGTCAGGGTTTCTCTGTGGCTTTGGAGGCTGTCCTGGAACTAGCTCTTGTAGACCAGGCTGGCCTGGAACTCACAGAGATCTACCTGCCTCTGCCTCCCTAGTGCTGGGATTAAAGGCGTGCGCCACCTCTGCCTGGCTTCAGATATCTTTTTAAAGCCCTTGAGTGATGAGTTTGTAGCTGGGTCTGAGGGCCACTTGGGCCACAGCCGTCCTCAGCACAGGGAGGTATGATCCAGTCACACTCATTCATTCTGCATCCCCTGGTCCAGGGCACCACAGTGACCATCTGCAGATGAGAGACCTTATGCTCAGAGGTGACCAGAGCCACCTGGTGGCTTAGGGGCTCAAGCAGTCATCACTGCGTCTCCCAGGATCTGAACTCGGTCACTGCCTTCTCCTCAAGGGTCCTCCTCAGTGGCCTGTCGTCTCTCCCTCCATCTGCTCAGCTGTGAAGTGTGGAAGCAACCATCCGCCACGTGTGTGGATTAATGAGGCCACGTGCATATGCCCACGTTCTTACCAGAACCCCAGTCGCCTCACGTGGCTCTACAATTTGGTTCCCTCGTAACGCCCCACTGGATCTGCTGCTCTGAAAGGCTTTCCCCCTGGGACACACATCCCTCTCCCTCACATCCCTCTCTCTTCATGTGAGAATTCAGCATTCAGCCTGAACCCCAGGGCTCAGGTCACAGTGACAGCTTCTACTGGTCTACACTCCACAGTCCCCCCCCCCCGGCAACTCCAACTCTGCCATCATGAACCCGGAATCCAACCACTTAGGCCAGGTCAGGGTTTCCACTCAGCCTCATCTCTCCAGACTTTCTGCTCCTATTCCGGCCCCTATGGTCTGTTCCCTATGGAGTGAAACCCCAAGTCCACATAGCACCCCCTAATACTTTGCCTCCTGTGTCTTTCCTCTGTCTTGTTTTGCTCAGACACAAACGTCCCTGCTGCTCCATGTCCATCTAGCTCATGGCTCGGGTCGCTGGCTCTGGCTCATCCTTCTGTGGGGGCGTTCTTCCCGTAGACCCCTGGGGTGCTCTCATGTTCTCAGGACTGCATTCTCAGGGAGTCCTTTGTAAACTGGGGTCCCCAGCTCAGCACTCACCGTTCCCTGACCCACATTCCCCTTGGTCTGGGAGCCTGCACTCAGATGATTGTCATGTGGGGTCACTGTTCTATCTCCCGTAGGATGTGACATGGTCTCGGGAACAGGTGCACAGTCTGGAGCTGGCTGGCGTGTGGGAGGAAGGCGGAGGGTTGGGCTACAAGTTGCTGCTCCTTGTGTCTGACTTACCAGACCCTGCCCAATCTTTCCTGCCTTGAGCTCTAGAGGCAGGTACAGCTGGGACACCTTGTCCTCTGGCTTTCGGGTGCCTAGGGTGGTGGGGCAGTCAGTCTGGGTGGGACCCTTTCTCCCCTGGCTTCCTCTCACGGACGCCCCTCCCTGTATTTCCCTCCTGCATTGTTTCTTCCTCTGCTGTCCCTGGTGGTCTTCTACTTGGCTCCTAAGACTCACCAGGAGTGGGTGGGCTGCCGGCACCTCTTGGGTCCCAGTGACACAATGGAAGGAGAGGATTCCCTTTGCTCTAGGATGGGAAGACGGTGTAGCTAACGGCCAATCCCAGCAGCTTGGCCTGGGTGCTTGCGTCTGGTTGGCTGTGTCTTTGAATCTGGACCCTAAGCACCGGCCCATCACCTCCAGAGCTGGATGGGCCTGGATGTGGCCTTAACGTTTTTCTTGGTCCCTAGCTGTGGGAATAGGACAGCGACTTGTTCTCCCGTAAGATCCCTGCACCTGCATGGTTTGTGGCTAAGGAGGCCTGAGCTCTCTGTTTGCATTGCTGGCCCAGCTTCCCAGCCTGTGCCCTGCAGCCTGCTCGTAAGGGTGCCAGGCGAGAGGAGGTGCTCGGGGTGTGTGCTGATGGAGCGGACAGAAAGTTGGAGGTCTGACAGCAGCTGGAGCCGCTCCCCGGACAGCTGGCCACTTGCCCTTGCAGTCTTGCTGGGTCCCTCTGCTCTCAGGCCCTCCAGGACAATTAAGATAATTGCTCTCAGACTCCTCACCCCTGGAGAGAGGGTACCTCCTGCCCAAGGTCCACTGGCCGTGCTGCTGGTGGCTGGGGGGGGGCCGGCAGTGGGCACTAGGCCATTTCTCCCCACTCCTGGGCAAAGCCTGCTCTAGGCAATAGTAAGGAAGGCAGCACCGGGGAGCCACCGTCCCATCACCAAAACGAGGGTCACGGTCCTGTGCTATCTATGCCCCCTGGGATAAACCCCCACTGCATGTCTGTGGCCTGCATAAGCAGGGACCCTCATGGCCACCCACTACTCATTTACTCCCCGAGGTGGCTTGAAGGAATGGACCCTGGGGCCAGAGGCTACGTGGTCAGGGAGCAAGAGAGCTCCCATTCCCAGTTCTCCCCACGCCTGCCTCACTGGCTGTGGGAATGGGGTCGTGCAGATGTGTGGAGGGCTTACGGGAAGGGGATCGGGGCTGGGTCCTGGGCTCCACAGGAGGGACCAGCATGGGATGGTGAGATGTCAACTCCCACAAGGGGCTGGGGCAGAGCAGCCCCACGCAGGGCAGGTGCTGACACTGCACCGTGGCAGGAGTCAGGGGCAGGACTGGAGGTGCCCGCTCTGAACGTCCCTGAC